ACATTTGTTTGTAGACAGTTAGTTGTAGACAGTTAGTTAAATGTGACCTACCCTTAAAATCAGTATTAGAGAAAAGACATTATTGAAGACAAAAGAGATCAAATGTTTTAGATTATCTATTTAGTCCTTAAATGACAGCAGAATAGAGCATCTGCTTTTTCCTAAATGTGAACTTAAATACTGAGAAATTTTTTCAGTTCTTTCAGATAATACATTAAGTTGAAGTTTATCTAAGATTCATCAGGAAAAGAAAGTGAAAGACAGAAAGGTACCTGGGGAGAAGAGTATTGGATCTACCAGATCACTCTGAAATAAAGTGACCTATTAGAGAATAAGCCATAAACTCACCTCGTTTTAGTCCATGAGAGCCATGAGGGGATAGAAGACTGGCTGGCAGAGTGTTTCAGAGATGTGCATGGTGAATATGTAACACCTCCTACCATTTTACCCTTTTAGATTCAGAGAAAGGTGTAGAGAAATAGAATAATGATCATGAGTAGCACAAAGAGAAGGTGATAACGGTAAAATCAGTACTGTTACTGCATTATAAAAGTGTTCGTTAGCACCTTTAATATCCATTAGAGGTTTACTAATGCCAGAGATTACACAATAAGGTTATACACCATTTTCAACTCATTTGACAGGCAATGCATTAATAAATGAACATTCAGGTCTAATGATTTGTCCATCAAAGAGTAAAATTATGTGATATTTCATGAATTTAGCAAAAAAAAAATGCACTATGAGAAAAAGTCTGAAGTGACCCTCCTAAAATGCTTTAACTGCCCAAACAGTTACTGTGTCATTTGCTGCAAATTAAATTCACTGAGTCATCCTTCAGTTGTCTAATAGAAGAGATAATGCACTGTACCACGGGTTAATCTGGCCAATGTGCATCTTTCTGTGGCATCTTTAAGCCTTGAGAAGAAATTATAAAGGCCAGAGTTTTAAAACTTATTTGTTTTAAGAATTTTTCCCCTAAGAAATCAAACTAAAAAAAAAACCTTAATTGAAAATAATAAAGATTTAAATTATTAGAAGATAAAAATTATTATATTAATAAAGATTTTTAAAAAAACCACCTTTGCTCTATTTTTTACATTCTTTGAGAATTAGACAAAATATTAATCAGAGAAAGATAAGCAGAAAGTTTTCTGTAACAGTATGAGATACACACCTTGCAGGTGAACCAAAACTGACAATTCCTAACAGCTCTAATAGTGGCTTCGTCTTGCTGAAGGTTGACATTTAGGCTGGAAATAATCTTACTCTTCTCTCTAGAGCTGCATGGATTGTCAGTGTCCTGGCAAAGTATGAACTGTCAAGCCTGAGGGCGGTGAGGAAGAAACAGTGGGGAAAGAGGGTAGTTTTTGCATTGTGTATGACTGAGCCAAGTTATTCCATGATATTAGTGAAAGTCTATGCCTTCTATTCTGCAAACTGGTAAAGCTGAAAACTATTTAATTCTAATTAAATTGTAGATAGGATTAGGAATCTCTTTCTATGGGTTAGATATAGTAAATAAGGTTAAATTTGGATGTGCCTATTCTGTGACGATGGTAAAGCAATAGCCACAGTTTTGCTGTCTTACCACAGGTTAGTTATTATTCAATGATTGCTTTTTCTTTTACTAAAGTATTGGTCTTAGACATTATGAATCAGTCCTCTGTTATTTAAAGTATCAAATTCCACCTGGATTTCAATTATTCTTTCAGTATTTTTTTTTTTCCCTAAATTAACCTCCTTAATTTTTTAGTCTATTGTAGCAACAAAAATGACCAATAAGATAGTCAAAAAAGAGATATAACTTTCCTAAAATAATTAAAATGACCCACATCAAGGTCTTTTCAGATTTTTATGAAAGGTTTTTTATGAGATATGTTATGGGTTCATCTCTACATGTATTGAATGAATGAGAAGGAAAGCAAAATAGAGCCTGAAGTCACTGAGGGAACATTGACAGTTATTCTACCAGAACAAAGTAGGCTACCCTAAGAAAGGGAGAAATCTTTGTTCTTGAAAGAAGAAAAGTCATTAAGAACTGGTCTTCATTGTCCTTGGGGCCATTTCCAAGTGTTGCTAACCACCAAATATGATTATTTCTTTTAAATACTGGGTAACTATACTATTATTGGAGTAAAAGTTACTGATTTTTTCTAAGACCTTATTATTCTATTATTCATAGGGAGTGAGCAGTCCAGAGTGGTTATCCCTGCATACCATGTCCTGATGAATGAGCAAGATATTCAGCTGCCAGTGATTAATTTTCTGCTGCTGCAGTATCAGTCAGGAGCAAATCAGGTTAGTATGTCAGACAGTACGCTGGAGGAGACTGTATCACCTCTTCCCTATCTTTCGGTGGAACAGAAGTTTTGATCATTCATTGCCAGCACTGACAACCACCTCTCAGCTATCTACATTCCCACCCACTTGCCCCCAAAAATACTTTTAAGTTTACAAAGCAATTATGGAGTCAGCATGGGATTCAGTTCTTCACATAAAAAGATGTAAGAAGCTATTTTGTCTACTAGATTGCATGCTTCTGAGAGACTAACATTGTACTGAAGTCTATCCACAGCTGAGAAAGTTTCAAAACAGACACTTCCACATCTAAGTAAAGGTATCTTGTGAGAAAAAAAATCACAAGCAAAAAAAAAAAAAAAACCAAAACCCAAACAAAAACAAACAAACAAATAAACAAAACAAAACAAAACAAAACAAAAAAACAAACAAAAAAACCCAACCTAAACACATTATGAGATTTTGCAACATGCTGAGTGCATAACTGAAATGACACTAATAATGGGGCTGCCATAAACTGGAAAGATGGATTGGAACAGTGATGTGTAAGTGCAGAAATTGCTTCTATTTGATGAACTTGAGTGTGGAAAAAGAAAATTTGAAAGCAAGAAATGCAAATGTGCAATAAATCTCTTAAATTCTTTACCACTGACAGCAAGGGAACACCTAGGACAGGTAAGGTCATTGGCAGAGACTGGGAAGAGAAGTAGACATCAGTCCTCAGATGTTCAGCAACAGCCTTTAATTATTTAGTTATTCCCCCCTGCTCCTTTTCAAATATAAAAGTCAAGTTCCATGTGTGGAGGAATCACGGGACAAACCAAGTCTGTTAGAAGAGACCTAAACCAGAAATGCAAAGAAAAGGAAATGTATGCAATATCTCCCACAGATTAAATGCTATATGAAGCAGTATTTGCACCCTGTGCTAGCAATGCTTGTAACAAGGAGATCAATAGAGCTGTCTGCACAGCAACCAGACAGGACTTCCTTCTTCTTCCCACCAAAACAGCTGAGGGTGATAGTACTATGAGAGATTCCTGACATGGAAATATGCTAGAAACACTTCAGTTCAATGCTAAGTTTTAGCACAATTCTACATGTAACAGTTTAGGATGTTGTAAGAACAAGGTTTTTTTGTATAATCTCAAAACAACAATGCTTTGGAGTGAACAGTTAGCTATTCACTATTTCAGTATCAGGAAGAGATTTCAGACATAGCTCTGTATATCAAGTGTGGCCACCACATAGCAATGGGAGTAACACATTTCCCACTGCTGGAAAAGTAGGACCACTATACACTTTATCTTCCCCGACAGGTTCTGGCAAAGAAGAGGAACTGTAAAAGGAGGAAATGTAAAAGGAGGAATCTAAAGATAATGAAATACCAAGACACCTGGCAGGAATCTAAAGGTTGATGGAAAAGGTATGAATGCCTGTGAGTAGGTTAGTGCAGTGGGGGGAAGACATGCATATCAGTCTTTCTCCAGCTACAGAAAAGTGAGGTGGTAAAGTGTTGATAAGGTAGTCACCACTTTTCTAAGAAGGCTTGATAGGTTAGATCAACCATAAACGTGAAAGACTGCAACGTGAGAGTCTTCATTTAATTTCTCCCTGACAGTGAACCAAATCATCAGAAAAATTGGTCTGTAATGATCTGCAACAGTTTTAACTACTTGTTTAAAGTTTTGTATACATGGTCTTCATTGAGTACCAAAATATTTATGGAGGAACCAAGTAATTAATCTTAATATTAGAAAATATTTTAAAATTAAAGGGAAACAAATGTGAATATAATGGCATAGTAGCATCTATTCTACACTAATTTAATTGCTCAGGAACTTAAATAACCTAACAATCAATCTGAACTACCATTTTCCCAAGCATTACAGAAAACAAAAAGAACTGGAGTAGCATATTTCCTAGAAATCTGAGAAGACCTTTAGTGTTAAGATGAGATTTTAAATCAAGAATCTTTTTTGTTTTTCTGGCTCACATTTTTCTTTTCACAAGATCTGAAATTTGAGAGCTCATACAAGAGACTTTTAAATTATACAAAAAGCCTTCAATAATACTTAAAAGGTCAAAAAAGACAAAGAGCAATTAAAAAAAAAATCCACAATTTTTCTTAGATACATTGAGAGGTATTTTTGTGACATTCTGACAGGTCCTGGTAATAGAATGAAAGCAACATCATGCCACTCCACAGAAAATAGCATTCATAACCCCTTTGGACCTCTGTCTCACAAATAAATATAATCCTGCTATAGTGGGAAAAACCTACAGATAATATAAGTGTATCTTACATGAGGTCTTTATTAATTTTTAAGGGCAACATACATTCTTATGACAAGATATTTAGGGTGAAAAACCTGATGAAGGTTTTTACAAAAGGAAACTTTGATTTCTTTAAAAAATAGATGTTCAATTTTATCACCAAGATATGTCATATCATGTAAGAACTGGGAATTGCCCAAGCACACATTAAATGTACAGGAAGTTCTAGAGCTTGGGCAGCAGCAAAGCTCCCAGAAGTTATTTCTGAATTTCCACATAAGATGTTGTTTACACAGTGCAAACTCTGCTGCATCAAATATATGCCAGACTGTGGCAGTCCTTGGCCATATTTCTGTGCAACTGGAGCACCTCCTTTATTGTCTGGAATTGATTCCTTTCTCAACTTCAGACTGGGTATGTGTAGCCCTGGATTCTGAAGAGGGAAGTACTCAAACTAAACAACTTAACAATTTAAATCCCAGACAGGAAGAAAGGATTGATGAAGTCTCACCTAACATCAAACTCCCTGCACTGAAAGTCCTTCTCCTCCTCATGAATGTTTGAGTTAATGGGAGGCATTCTGCATTATTAAAAGCAGTCTTAAAGTTACGCAAATAGCAAAACATCATTTTGAAGACTGTAGAATACTGAAATTGCCAAGGTACTATCAGGGTATTTCCAAATTTGAAGTGGTTAGATGGTAAAACTGCTGCATCAAAAGCACTCTGCTCTGAGCTTCACTGGTGAACCTTATTTTTTCATAGGATTCAAAGAAAGAAACTGGATTTTTTTCAGGAAAAGTCTTACTTTGAGTGAGGCAATGAAGTGTGAATTATTCAAGCTTACCTGGAAAAATTTCAACTGCATGTATCTGGGGGAATTACTGACTCCTCCACACAAGTCTAGGTGAAAGTGAATCCTCTAATGTAGACATAAATTTCCTGTTATCTGTCTGTAGTTCACCACAAACACTGTTTAGTAGGTTTCTCTATTCTAATTTCATTATGCGCACAACTAGAATGAAAAATGTAACAGAAGCCTCAATTTATTAAGTTAAAGGATTAAATCTATATTTATTCATTTACTCAGACATTTAGAATTTCAAATTAGCACTCAGTTACTTAACAGGGGATTTGACTGCCAATTTCATATAGGTAAGTTGAAAAGTAGAACCATGAGAATTTTGGTATTTCTTTGACTTCATTTCAAGCCTTTGTCTATTTGTGTTTATAAATGCATTGTAACACAGCTTCAGACAATATGGACAAATGTATCTTCACTGAAGTTAGTGGACTTTTTCCATCTACCACCAGCTGCATATCTGGCCCACAATTCACTGTTTTGCTGAAATGTTCTAAACAATGAAGAGAATAAATAAAATTTATACCCTTGTGCTTAAAACCAGGCTTTGGACAAACAGCAAGAATAGAGTTTATGCCAAACCATCTGCAAATCACAGAAATACAGTTCAGCACCCACACATCTCTCTTCCAGAATATAAACTGGAATATTTGCCACTTTGTCATTTAAGCTTCTCTATAGCTAACACAGCACACACAAAAATTAAACTTGTCCTCAGACATAGAAGTAATGTACCCAGTAGACAGTAAAAGGTGCATGCAATCTTAATGTTAGAATAATAAATGTAGGCTTAAAAATATTTGTCAGCTTTTTCCCCAAGATACATTCTACTTGATTTTGTCCATTTTGACAGGTGACAATGGGAATGTTTGTCCAGGCATCAATTAGCATAAGGAGACTTAAGTGTGGTAACATAAAAAAAAAGCCCCAACTTTTTTCATCAGCATTTCTAGTTCTCAAAAGGAAAAGTAAACATAAAAGCATTTACTGACCCATAGGTTCATCTACACTGTAGTTAAAACACCACATTTTGTTGTTATTTATACCAACAACATGAGTGTATTACTTTTAAAGACCTGTAAAAAAACCCCAAACTCCTTATATGAGTGTTAAACACAGTAAATTTTTAATGAAGAAGTGAGAAACACGCCAGCAAGCTTAGTCCTTGTTTCCTGCTTAGATGACAATGAAGAGCAGGTTCTTTATGCTGAATGTTGAAGAAAGGCAAGTTTCCAATATAACAACAGGGTAGGCTCACTCTTTTTTGTTTGGGTAGGCTTTTGCCTTCTTCCTGGTCTTTCTGTTGTCACTGATGTCAGTGTATCCCACATCATCTGCCTTCTGGCAAGTGCCAGAAAATGTCTCTAGGAGGATACATACAACATTGCTCAGTTGCAAGTCTTGGACAGTCGGTTCATTTTGGTTAGTGCATGTCATTAAGATGCAGCCATCATTCAGCTGTTTACAAGTCAAAACACAACTTTTCTCATCTAAACTAATGTCTTCCAGGGCATTATCCCCTATTTGAACTTCAGCATTGGCATGCCATGCATTGTCTCTAGGATCCACTTTCAGTGAGATGCCAGTCAAGTTCTGTTTTTCCTGAGAGATCTTCAGGTACTTTATAAGTGAAAACAAATGAAAAGTTAATTAGGTCTAAGGTCTTAATAAAGAACATGTTGGTCTCAGTATTCTGATAGTAATGACCCAGGAGAAGAGCATTTACCTGTACTAATGAAATTCAATATTCATTCTCACAACATCATGATGTTTCCAGTTCTAATCAAAAGGAAATGTTAACATCTGTTCATATAAGGGTGGACAACTGCTTGATAAGTACTGGTAACAGTAGTTATGTTCCCCAGCTCAATTAATTTCATCTAAAAGATGTCAGATTAAACACTAGCTCATGGTTCTCTTACTGTAATTAATACTGTGCTAGCACCTCAAAATCCACTACGTAACTGATTTCTGTCATATCTGGTTTTACTCATACAAAAAAAAAAAAAAAAATAAAGACCAGAAAGAGCTCTTGCAGGCTCTGAAGTTCTCAGCTTAATATTTAGACAGTGTGTACCAGGTAAACAAATAAAACAACTTCATGATTTATTCCAACTTCTATTATGTCAAGTTATTTTCCCCTTCTTCCTTTTATCTGCACAGCTCAGTGCAACAGAAGAAACACAGAAAAGTCAGATTACTTTGCAAAGTTACCACCTACTGTTGAAGATTTATTTCCTTCTATTCATTTTCATAATGTACTCAGCAGTTTTAAATGGACCAGAAACAGTATTTCTATTATTTGTCTAAGGAATTCATATTACCACTAATGGTTCTAGAAGTGAAAAGATTTAACTTCATCATTATTTTTTACAATGCATTATTATTGAAAACATCAGTACCTACAAATGATAGCTATTCAAAGTTTACATACTGCAAGACCTTTGAGATAAGACGGCTCTGTTACACTTATGGAGTACAACTACCATCTCTGGAACACACTATGAAATAGTTGCTTCTGTTCAATAAGCAATGTTCTGTGTTAGTAAGTCCTGAATCAGTAGATAGATGCTATAGAGAAAATTAAATACAAATGGAAATATACAGCTGTATTAAATAGGCAGAAGCTGGTTTTACAGGTTTCCCAATGGAAGAAAGAGCCTATTACTTTCTCCTTCTGGTAAGCAAGAATGGGGTTTATTGACTAATATTATCTCTAATATTAACTAGCTTTGTGACAAATATTTTGTGCTTGGATTTCCTCATTGTATTTGTTTTGAGACAAATGCTTTGGAATCGCTGAATTAAGTACACTATCTGTTATCTCCTTCTCTGCGGAGCCGCGGACGAACGACACGCCGAGACGGGTTCAGTGTGGGTGATAGAGCATCAATCAACGTGTGTGTTTATTGGTCCAGGGTACATATATTTATACAGACAATGATAATTATTATGCCTACTAGTCACTAGCTGATTGGCTTAAGCTCTAAAGGTCGTATTCGCACGGTCCACCTACTTGCAGTTAGCTTACAGCCCAAGCTTCTCATAACACTAAGTTTCTCATGCTACTATTTCTGATTCCTGTTGACTTGTTTTCAATACACGACAGTACCGTAACACAGTGTTTCTCAGACCACCGTTATCATAACACTGGGTTTCTCAGACCACTATTCCTAATTCCCCTTAACCTGTTTTTGACACACCACGGTACACAGGGCTGAAGCGTCCTTGACATTCCTCCTGTATCAGCAGCTGTGAGCAGCTGCAGGCAAACCCTAGTGAGGCTCAGCATCAGCAGCTAGAGCAGGCTCTGATCATACAATTGCTCAGTGGGCTCAGGATCCTTGTCTCTGAGCCATTCTCCAACAATTCCCCCTTTTTCTTTTTGTATGAGCAGAGCCTGCGCTAACGTTCATTCAAAGATTTTCTTAATACGTGACAAGGCACAACTTAGGCATGCAGGCTTACAATCTACTGGCTAAAGGCACAGGACCCTTGTCTCTGAGCCATTCTCCAGCAATTCCCCCTTTTTCTTTTTGTAGGAGCAGAACCTGCCCTAACATTCGTTCAAAGATTTTTTTAATACATGACAAGGCACAATTTAAGCATGCAGGCTTACAATCTACTGGCTAAAGGCACTTATCACGCACCTGGAAGTGCTGTGATAGGTCTGCATCGTTAGTACGCGTGAACAAACTAAATCTACTGTGCAGTTAGTGTATCCAGGCATTCGAACAGGACGTGAACAAACTAAATCTACTTTGTGGTTAGTGCATCCAGGCATTCAAAACAGGGAGGAAGCACTAGATTGACTTCCTCCTTCTTGCCCTTCCAGGTGACCTCAAGGGCAGGATTACCATGTGGCAGTTTTCTGCTCAGAGACCCAGCCTGGATTGTCCAAACCCTGCAGGATCAGTGCATAACCCTGATCCCCCCTCCAAAAAAATTCCTACCAGGTTTTCCCCCTTTTTCTTTTTTGGACAATCCAGACTCCTTTTAACATTTGAATCATAGCATTCATAAAGCATTTCCACACAGACCCCAATACCATCATGACAATCATAATGACAATCAGCATTGCCAATCCGTGCATCAACAAAGCTTTCAGCCACCCAGTAATTTCCAAGCTTTGTAGATTTAGAACCATCATCAGTCCATTTTCCAAATTCCCAAGTCTCGTAACCAGTCTGTCAGTCCATGTTCCAATCTTATTCAGTCTTATGTAGCAAGAAAACCATCCTTACAGTTTTAAAAGTGTCAGCAATTGTAACAACAGAGTATGCAATACAGAATGTAATACAGGTTTCACCATGCTATGTTCTAAACATTGCAACGAACCCACAACATACAATGAATCTGATACTACATGAACAAGTTCTTGATACCAGTGTTGATGTTGAAACACCCAAATGAGTTCAGAGTTGTAAAGTTCGTAAGGAGTCTCCACACCCCCCGAGGAGAATCTTGTGATCTTGAGTTCCCAGGTGTCCCCCATTTGTTGTCACTACCGGGCAGGCCAACGCTCCAGCAGCATGCCTGTCCACTTTTAACAAGGCATCACGAATCACCCCACTCCATCGGGACTGAGCTAAAAGTGGAGCTGGTTCTGATAAAGGTGATGGGAGTGGGTGTGGTGGGGGCTGCCGGCAGCGTTTCCTCTTCTTGTAATTGTAAATGCAGAGTTCTGTTCTGTAGCTCAACTTCTGTAATTTTCTTTCAAGTTCTTGGACTTTGTCACTGTCCCTTACCGATGTGTGACCCTGTTGCTTTAATTCGGACAGAGCCGCCGTTTTTCTCTCCGAGCCAGACGCTGACGCGCCGTCAGGGGCGGAACCATCCGAAGGGCGGGGGGGGGGGGGCGGGCAGAGTTTATGGTGGCACGCCGCTCCACCTGGTACCCCCGCGCCGCCTGATTTCTCTGCCGCTTCTTGCGCGGTGGAGCAAACAGGAATACTTGGTGACATGCCCTTAATAGAGCAGAGCTGTTGATTACACCCGAAGAAGGTGGCTAATCGTGACGGACAAGTGGTTTCAGCAGGTACCAGTGGGGATGGTACAGCACCGATAGCCGCAATAGCAGCAGCAACTACTTTCTTTTCTGCTTGCATCTCCCTCAGGGCTTTTACAATCGTTCGCCAGACCACCCCTTGCTGTCGTGCTTCACTGCCTTTATTGCCTCCAGTGATAGTCTCGTCCCACAATAAATCACCTACTTTGCGCCCCTCCTGTTGGCTACATATTAGCGAGGGGCCATCGTCCCTCTGCCCCTCCACTTCTGAGGTAGGGGGGGGTGGGGTGGGGCATGACTGTAAGGGCACTGGCGGGGGGGGCTGGCCTCCGGACTTTCCCTATTCACATTAACTGTAACTGGCCCTCCTGTTGATGGTACAGGAATACGATCACTGTCAAAAAGCATAGATCCGGATGCCTCACTATCTGGGGTAACAGTGGAACTTTCCCCCCCCAACTTTGCAGTTGCCACAGCTGCAAGGTTCTTTTCAAGCTGATACTGCCCACTATTAGTCACCACCTCCCGCCATGGTTTCATCATTTTCCTTGCAGCTTTATCCTCGTCTATTACCATATCCCACAAAACATCACCTAATCGTCTCCACTCGTCGACATCAAAAAGAGAATTAGGGTCCTGAAAACATCCTTTGACCCGTCCTAATGCTACTAAACCTGCGAGTGATTTTATACAATCCACTCCCCGCTTTTCTAAAAAGCGCTGTAATAAATCCAGGGCTACCTCCTGTTCCATCTCGTCAACCTGGTGCTCCTTGTTTAAGGCACCTCTGGTCCTGTGCTCCCTGGATAAGGCACAGTACCGTTACTGCCGACCCACCCCTAATTAAGGCACCGTCGGCCCTTTGCTCCCTGCTTAAGGCAAAAAAAAAAAAATACTCCCGCCGGCTTGTGCTCCCTGTTTAAGGCACTAAAAATACTCCCACCGGCTTGTGCTCCCTGTTTAAGGCACTAAAAAATACTCCCGCCGGCCTGTGCTCCCTGTTTAAGGCACTAAAAAATTCTCCCGCCGGCTTGTGCTCCCTGTTTAAGGCACTAAAAAATTCTCCCGCCGGTTTGTGCTCCCTGTTTAAGGCACTAAAAAATACTCCTGCCGGCCTGTGCTCCCTGTTTAAGGCACTAAAAATACTCCCGCCGGCTTGTGCTCCCTGTTTAAGGCACTAAAAAATACTCCTGCCGGCCTGTGCTCCCTGTTTAAGGCACTACAAATACTCCCGCCGGCTTGTGCTCCCTGTTTAAGGCACTAAAAATACTCCCGCCGGCCTGTGCTCCCTGTTTAAGGCACTAAAAAATACTCCCGCCGGCTTGTGCTCCCTGTTTAAGGCACTAAAAATACTCCCGCCGGCCTGTGCTCCCTGTTTAAGGCACTAAAAAATACTCCCGCCGGCTTGTGCTCCCTGTTTAAGGCACTAAAAATACTCCCGCCGGCTTGTGCTCCCTGTTTAAGGCACTAAAAAACTACCCCCTTTGATATGTTGCTGATGCTCCGTGACTAAGGCACCAGGTGCAGCTCTTGCCAGCAGCCCTTGCAGAGAGCGACCCTTTATCTCGGTTCAGGTCCTCGGAACGACCTGTCGGAGGCCCACTGTCCGATC